TATCTTTTTATTTTCTTGGTGGTGTGTTTTGAAGCATCCTTCTATTGTTCTTTTTAAAAAAATCTTTACTTTTTAAAATTATGTAAGGAATACTGTGTAGTGAAAAATTAGAAAACTTTGAGTGATACACAAAAATAAAAGGAACAAACAAAACATTTATAATTTTATTATTCAGAGGTCATTGCTGTGAACAGTGGAGGTTTGGTTGTTTAATTATAATGAAATCTTATTTTAAAAAAACCTGAAGTCTTATTGTTCAATTTTTAACCTTTTGTAAATCTCATCAGTTGTGAATAACTTTTCATGTCAATAAATATATTTCTACACCATAGTTTTTTTAGTTATTAATACAGTTTTATTTTTTAACACCTTTATTGTGGTATGGTTCCTGTACAGTAAACTACATTTATTTCAGAAGTACAACTTGAGGAATTTTGATAGATGTATACACCAATGAAACCACTCCACAATCAAGAAAGCTAACATTTCCGTCACTCACCAAGAGGTGCAATTTTTGAATACTCAATTTATCTCTTCCCACCCCTTTCACCCCTGGTAACTATAAGTTTGTTCTCTATGTCTGTGAATCTGTTTCTGTTTTGTTGGCAAGTTCATTTGTGTCCTTTTTTTCAGATTCCACATATAAGCGATATCATATGGTATTTTTCTTTCTCTTTCTGGCTTACTTCACTTAGAATGATGATCTCCAGATCCATCCATAGTTGCTGCAAATGGCATTATTTTATTCTTTTTATGGCTGAGTAGTATTCCACTGTGTGTGTGTGTGTGTGTGTGTGTGTGTGTGTGTGTGTGTGTGTACACCACATCCTCTTTATCCAGTCATCTGTTGATGGACATTTGGGTTGTTTCCATGTCTTGACTATTGTAAACAGTGCTGCTGTGAACATTGGGGTGCATGTGTCTTTTTGAATTGTATTTTTCTCCAGAAATATGCCCAGGAGTGGGATTGCTGGATCATATTTATTTTTAGTTTTTTAAGGAACCTCCATACTGTCCTCCATGGTGGCTGTACCAGTTTACATTCCCACCAACTGTGTAGGAGGGTACACCATAATTTTTTAATGTTGCACAACATTTAATCATATGGATGTGTAATTTACCCAAACTAATTCCTTATTGTCGGATGCTTAAGTTGTTTCCAATTTTTCACTGTTCTAAATGTAATTAAATCTTTATGCACATCTATAAATACTTTCTTTGAATAGATTTCTAGAATGAGAGTGATGAGTCAAAGTGTATGGACATTTTTAAGGCTGTAGAAACATGCAGCCAGATTGCTTTCTGGAAAGAGTGTGGCCAGCCATGCTCCTGCTGGTGGTCTGTGAGACAGCCAGGTCCATCCACACGAAAGAAACAATACTATTGTCAGTGACAGCAGTAAACAGTTACATTGCACTTAACTGCTAAACAGTGTTCTAAGCACTTTAGATATATGACTTCTTTATTCCTCACAATAATCCTATCAAATTGGTACTAGTATTTTTCCATTTTACAGATAAGATCATTGAGGCACAGAGAAGTTATGTATTGCTCAAGGTCCCGCAGCTAGGAGTATGCCAGGAGACCCTGCCAATCTGGCTCCCAAGCCCTGGCTCTCAACACCTCTGATTTATTGCTTCTTTATATCCATATCACATGAAAATTATTGGCAGAGGCAGCCATATGTACAAACATCCAGAAGGAAGGAAGCCCGGTACTGTTAAGCACAATGCTGGCTGTTGCTTTAAGATGGTCTTTATAATGCTAGGAAAGGTTCCTTTTATTCTTAATTCATGAGAGTTTCATTTAGGAATAACTGAACAATTTAATCTCTCTCCTGCCCCCATTTTTGCCTGTTACAGATCAGGGGTTGGCACACTTTTTCTTAAATGTCCAGAAAGTAAATATTTTAGGTTTGGGGGACTCAGGTCTCTATCATAACTACTCAGCTCTGCTGTTGCATCTGAGAAGCAGCTACAGACAATATTTAAATTACAAAGCCACGTGGCTGGCCAAGGGGCCGGTGTTCACACATTTCTGTTACTGATGGCCACATGGGTTTTCTCTCCTTGCTCATCGATACGGAGCCACTTCTGCATCATAATCTGAAATAATCCAGCCTGACCTTGCTAGATCTACTGCTGCAACCTATTTGTTAGTAGTTTTTTTTTAGGATCTTTACATCTCTCTTTAGGAATGGGGTGGATTCGTGTGTGTGTCCTGGTCAGACTTCACAAAACTTCATCTTTTTTCTACGCTGTGGAATAAAGAGTGATTTATTCCCTGAAAGACTGGTAGAACTTGGCACCGAAGAAACCATCTTGGCCTGATGTCTTTTTTGGAGGTTGTTCTGTGAGATCTCTTCCACTTTTAGAAAGTAATCTCTTTGGATTTTCTATTACTTTTGCATTGAGTTTGGCCAGTTATATCTTTTTTTTTTTTTTTTTTTTTTTTTTTTAGAAAATTGCCTGCTTCATTTAGATTGTCCGAAGTTCTTCCACTGGTTTGGGTGTAGTAAATCTCTTAATCTTTCTATTTTCTCCATAATATCTTTTTATTTGAGCTTTCTTGTTCCTATTGATGTACCTGCTGTTTAACATTCGATTTGGTAAGTGTGTATTTTGTTGGTCTTTCAAAAGTTTGCTCTGGGGTTTAATTATCAGTTGTAAAAGTCTCCATCATTCTGCTCATCATTTTCAAATTTTGATCTTCCTATGTCAGATTGATTTTCATTCTTTTTGTATAAAAGCAAGAACATTTAAGACTGAATTTTCGTTTGGTTAGGGATTTGGCTGTCAAATTTTAGGACCTAGCTTTCTCATTCTTGGTATTTTCTAAGGACCTGTGATTTTAGTATTTTTTTCCTTTGACTCAGAAGAGTTTCCAGGGAATGTCTTTACATTTCCAAAAGGCTGGGATTTTTAATTCTAAGTTTCTCGTTAGTTCTAGTTTTATTATTGCATTAAGGTCAGAGAATGTGACTGATAATGGGCTTATTCCTCGGACTTTATTGAGATTTGCTTTGTGGTTTTTAATTTTTTCTAAGTGCTCCAGTGGTGCTGGAAAAGAAGGTAGATGTTCTGTTTTTGGATTACGTGATGTTTGTCTGTTTAAATGACACTGTTAATGGTATTACTCAGATTCTCTGTCTTCATATCCTTTTTTAAAAATTTACTTGGCTTTTCAAGATTGAGGGAAATATAATAAGTTTCCCACAACTAGTGTGTTCCTGTTATTTCTTTGTGCGAAACACACTAGTTGTTGCCTGGACTCAAGTCCTGAGTCATAAACTCACATCTATAAGTATCTGAGCTGTGGAAGAATGTAAACGCTTAGGAGCAATCAAACAGCTAACTAGAATTCCATTCTAACCAAACCAAATTTGCCCGGGTGTTTGTGTGTCTTTTGGGGGGTACATGTGCGTTTCAGCATATACATCCCAGTCTCAGCGTGTACATCCTTCTTGAGCATGACTGTGTAAATGTGTTCTTCTGTGTGTTGGTGACTGTGTGACTTTGATATGTGTGTCCGTTTATTCATCCCCGGCATCTTTGTCTTCAAATTGAACTTCAAACATCAGGGCTAGAGTCTGCCTTGCTGGCTTTTTCGAGAGTAGTTACAAGTCAGAGAGCTCTGTCAGCCTCTATCTTAACCCATCTGAACATCTTTTCCCCTTTCTCGCTGCAGAAGATCCTCCTGGTAAGTTGGGCGGGACACGGGTTCTCTGCAGACTCAGCCTCGCCCCGGCACCCGCTGTCTGGGCATCTCATTTTGGCCACACAGAGCTGTAAGGGCCACACTTCCGGGATGGATGGAGACTCAGAACCTCACTCTGCCCTCTCCCCATTGTACCTGTTGGGGTGCCCTTGGCCTGCCTCCAGCTTGTGCTCCCCTTTAAAAAGCTGGCGCTTGAAGGACCAGACATTGGTTTAAAGGGAGCACCAGCATTTCCAGAAACTCATGCTAGGATTCAGTTCATTTTTTAGACTCAGAGCAGGCCCCTCGCTTACCACCTCACACAGAGGAGGAAAGCGAGTACCAGAATGAGCTCTCCCGACACCTTGCCCTTGGCTTTTTCCAATGAACCGGTGAGCTCTGCTGGTCCTGACAGCACGGACTGAGTGCGGGCGGCTGGTGGAGGCCCAGGAAAGAGTGACAACCCCATCTTTGGGAGCTTGCTGACTCCCTGGGAGACGGGCCCACACACCTGGGCAGGACACAGTTGAAGGAACATTCTAGACACAAGAGCCAAGAGGGCCTCCAGACACTCTTGTGTAGGAGGAGTTAAAAGGCGGGGAGACCAGTGTGGGCCCCAACAGGCCTGTCCAAGTGGAGGAAGGAAGGCGCAGACGGGGTGTTGTCACAGACTTCCTTCCTTCTCACCTCGTTTCCCCCATTTAGCATAGTGTCTTTTGAATAATGGGCACTTCACGTTTGTTGTATTTCAGAGGTTCTGCCTTGACATGACCTTGGTGGAGCTAAGTTCTGATTTTGGAAGCTTTCTTCTTTTTGCTGGAGTCAGGGCGGGTTGGGGAAAGGTCAGCATAACTCTTTGGGATCTGAGTTTTCCTGGGTGTACCACGTTTTTTAAACAAATAACACATTATTGACGTGTTCCCCGAAAGAGTTATCCTATGTCCCCTCTGATCTGAGGCTCAGCATGCCCCTGGAGTGCAGAGGGTCCTGTGATGATTATGCCCACTTCACAGAAAGGAAAAGAGAGGCCCCAAGAGCTTAACAGAGTCACACAGTGAAGGCGGGCACACAGGGCTAGAGACTCTGCCTCTCAAAACCAAGCAGGTGTGAAAACCTTTCTTCCAATCTGTGCAGTCGGCCCCTGGAGAGGTGGGGAGTTCCAGCTCTCTGCTCCCCTGAACCCAACCAACAGGGGGAGATTTGCAGTCCAGGCCAGCCCATCAGCCTTGCCTGGTGTTGGTCCGGAAGATCCTTGCTTGGCAAGTTCTGTTTCTGAAACCGTCTCTTTCTTTCTACCCACTCAGGAAGAGGAGTTCATTGATTGGTGGAGCAAATTCTTTGCCTCTATAGGGGAGAGGGAAAAGTGCGGGTCCTACCTGGAGAAGGACTTTGACACTCTGAAGGTGAGGCCTGTCTGAAATGTGCTCTCCAGTCTAGCAGTCCCTGGGCAGATCCACTGGGTAATATGAGATGCAACAGAAAGAGAATATATATAGGTAAAGACATATATTTATTTATTGGTGGAAAAAATATACGTAGGTGTGAAATGATATCTAGTATCTGTTTTAAAGTGCTCAAGGAAAGTAAGGATGAATTTAGATGATGTGGGTGGCCCTCTGATAGATTTTCAAAATACTAAAAATGATTGGAATTGCAAAATATTGAAAATTGCTAAAGCTTAGAGATGGGGACTGAGGGATTTGTTATACTGTTCTGTCACTTTGAAAGTTATTTGAACTTTTCTATAATAAAAATGTCCTACTAAAATAAGAGTCAATGAGAGCACGTACCCCTGATTCCCCCACCTCTGCAATTGGCATAGAAATTACCCAGCAAATATAAAAACATGGTACGCTCTGTTTCTGTGGGAAAAAAAAAACCCCAACACCCAAAAAACAACACAAAACCAGGGATGAGTCAGCCAAATTCTGGTATTTTGAGGAAATTCCACAAATACAGTTATCTTTTTTAAAAGTAGTCTACCAGAAGTGACTCAAAATTATTCCCCAGAGGGGTTGTGGAGTGTCCTGGAGAAGGTTACCAGGTAAAATTCAGGGTGCTCAGTTAGACTGAGTTTCAGATAGACAGTGAATAGTTTAGTATAAACGTACTTTAAACATTGCATGGGACATACTTATCTAACAATTACGTGTTATCTGAAATTCAAATTTAACTAGGTGTTCTGTGTTTTCACTTACTAAATCTGGCAGCCCTATTTAGAGAGAAAAGAGTGGCAAAGGCTGTCTGACACATGAGAAAAACCCAAAGAGCTCCCTAAAGGGGTCTGGATGAAGGGGGCTTGAGGCTAGTTGGAGGGGTGGGTGGCCTGAGTTTTCAGGTGATTCTGGCTGAAAGCCTTTGGTGGACACTCTGGAAGGTGATTTCACAAGGTGGCAAGGGTTGTCCTTGATAACATTGGAAGCTCCCATGTGATTGGACCTGGAGACCTGGAGGTGCAGAGATCAGGCCTCCTCAGGCAGCAAGTTCTTTGTTGACTTGATAGGTGGGGTGTGTGAGGCTGGGCGAAGAGACAGAACTATTTGTGTAGCAGGAAGAAGGTCCGACACATCATGTCTGGCATGTGGTCCTGAGGCCTTGCCAAAAAATGAGAAAAGCCAAGTAAGAATGAGGACTCCTGCCAGGGTGGCCCATGGCCCTGGCACCCTTGCTGCTTGCTCAGATGCCGGATGCTGAATTGGCACCCAGCCCACCAGCTTGACCTCTCTGAGGAGATCTCTGACAGTTTCCAAGTGAAAATGGGCTGTGTGAAAACAAAATGCATTCAACCTGTTTCTGGGGGAGAAGCAGACCTGGAAGGATCACTGGTCCTTTAAGGACTGGTAAATCAAAGAAAACCACCATGACAGACATGACTCTTTGAAAAACAGCCTGTAGCATTATAGAGAGGATGTAGTACACAATGGGTGGAGGTAAAAAACAAACAAAATCACCCCCCAAAACTCATACTTTGGAAATCACTATCATGGGGGGGAAAAGCTACTCACAGTCTCAATAGCAAAAGATAGAAAACAAAAGATACAGTAAGAAGGCATAGGAAAACAGAAATCATAGAAAAACAATAGAAAAAGAGTAAATATCAGTTTTCCTATTAAATAAAAATGGGTTACACTCTTTTACTAAGTGATACGGACTCAGACTACATCAAAAGTCAAAATCCATCATACTGTCTTTAAAAGACATGTCTAAGACAATACAACCTAGAATGGCTGAAAAAGTAAATATTTTGACAAACAAAATAAAGTGCTAACAAAAGAGAAACAGACAGAATCTAAAGAAAAAAACAAAGGAGACAAAATGGAGTGTTTTGTATAAATAAAAGATGTATATCTCAATGCAGAAAGTCCCAAGCATTAATGCATAGAATAATATGATTTAGAAATCCTTAAAGCAGAAATGGATAGGAATATATAAAATAATCTCTCACACAAATGAAAGCATGAGATAACAGAAATTAAAGCAGCAGTGGGTATTTTAATGCACCTCTCTCCTAGACAGATGAAACAGCAATCAATAAATAAGAAAATAAAAGATCTGAATCACAAGGTAAATGTTTTCTAAGCTACATCAAGAGTAGCTTTGAAATAGAGAACAAAAGAATGAAAGAATAGAGAGTACATTTTTCCAAATGCTCAGAGAACACTTACAAAATTTGATCATATGTTAGTTTAGTAATAACTTACCAAAAGCAGAAGTCATACAAGACAGATTTAAATGCAATAAAATGAGAAATTAATAACAAAAGTTTAAACAAAAAGACCAACCACTTGGAAATTTGAAAAATATTTTATTGGGACTTCCAGTATGAACACGGCTGCATAAGTCAGCATTTTTCCCTTCTTCTCTTGGAAATCATTCAAACCCACAAACTTCATTTTCAGTAAAAGTTGGAAACAAATAAAACCCGCAGACTCCAAAATACATGTGAGGGCTGTCCAAAGGCAACTGAGATTGGGTGGAAGCTGCTCAACCGTAGACGAAGAGAAGATACATGAAAATGATGAAAGGTCATAGTGGAAGCAGATCTCAGAAAACCCCACAAGTCCTAAGAAAAGAACGTTGATAATTATTTACGACAGGTTACGGATTCCCAGGGACTTATTATCTAGTCTCTTTGCTTTTGTATGTGCTTGACATTTTTTCATAAGAAATAGTTGAAAAATATAATTCCTGAAATTGATGTTTCACTGTAAAATAGATAAGTTACATCTTTTGTTCACAACAGTGGACATGGGAACTTTGGAGACAGGTTCAACCTGGTGATAAAAACCTCTTAGACCTGGTTTGGTTCAGAGAAATAGAGAAGGTGGAGCTACACAAGAATTACACAAATAAGCCATATTTGTAGGGAACAGCCTGCCTCTGTTGTGGGAACAAAGGAAATTAACTGATCCAAGTCCAATACATTTAGTGACAAGTACTAATAAAAGAGACAGCTCAGCATTAATTTTAAAAATACTATAAAAAAAGAAGAGAAAAATATAAAACAAAACTTAACCAAAGGAAGAGAATGTATACCCGCCAGAAAAATTTTACCAAGGAGTAGATGAGATGAAAGATTTTGCTGTTAACTTTTTAGAAATGGGGCAATCAGAGTGCAGGCAGAAATGAAGGAACTCAAGGGATGATGAGATGAGAAGAGGTGAAATATGAGCTAGCAGGATTCAGGAAAGAAGGAGAAGAAAACATGGAAGAAGCACAGGGCAGAATGGCTACTTTGGAAGACACAGTAAGGGGCATAGGGGACAGAACAAAATGGAAATAAAGAAAGAGGTAAAAAGAATAAAGAGAAAGTGTCACCTATAGCAGTCAGGGAAAGGAGATCCAACATTTGTGTAATTGGAGTCTCCCAGGAAGACAACCAAAACAATGAAATGAAACAATTAATAGTTTAATAAAATTTCACTGAAACAAAGGAATACCTGAGTGTGTATATATATTACAAGGGCTGCTGTGTGTCAGGAAAAATTGACCCAGACTGGTCAATCTTGAGACATCTCCTAGTGTAGTTATTGGACTTTAGAGACAAAGAAAGAATTCTTTGCATAGTCATACCTTCTTTTCCGACAAAAAATTAATAATTTGAAATAGGAAAGAAATCAAAGTGGCTTCACTTTCTCTACAACAACATTTAATAGCCAAAGACAATAAAGCACTATGTGTTAAGATCTTCAAAGAAAGGAAGGGTGAGCCAAGGATTTGACATGCAGCCAAGCTGCCCTTTAAGCATAAGGGCCACAGACACACTGGTCTGCACACCCGGGAGCAGGTAGGATGGCTCCCACAGGCCTGCCTTGAGGGGCTCCTAGGGGATGAACTAGAGCTGATCTAGGAGCTGTCTCAGCTTGGAGATAACTGGGAAAACCATAACAAAAGGATTGGTTGTGATCAGATTTTACCTTAGACCTAAAAGGGAAACACCTGGAAAGGTTAGGGTAACTGGACAGAATGTAAGTAGCATATATATTGAAAATGTAGAAATGATAAAACCGATAAAAATTAGATAAAGGAGGAAAGAGGATGGGATACAGAGTAAGGATAGTGATAGCCATATTATAGGATAAATAAAATTGACAGATATTACTTAAAATTGGCAAATCAAATAATAGGCATATAAGCAAATTATAAACAAGTAGCACAAAGATAAATACTGAGATAATATTGTCTAAAACTAGGTGATGGAGAGGGAGAGGGAGGAAGATAAAATTTGATTATTTTATCATTGCTATAATGAGAAATCCTAAAGACATAATAATAGAACGTAAACTCAGGTCATCCTAGCTATCAGAAAACACACACACACACAGACACACACACACACACACACACACACGCTCACTTACACACCCACATACCACACAGAGAAAACAGACCATGCGGTCAAAGATTTAAAAAGCAAAACTCTGAAACTAGAAAATGTAATATAAATACATTCTATGACTGTATAAATATAATACAAATATAAAACCAGACCAAACATATTTGCCATATCAGTACATGTCATATCAATCACTTATTAATTGCAAAATTTAAATCAGGTCTTAAAGAAAAATCTAACTCTAAAATAGATTTATAAAGGTTGAAAATAAAAGATTGGGAAAATGAGTGTCGGGCAAATGGAAATGAAAAGAAAGCAGAAGTCACAATCTTAATATTACACGAGAGCATATGCAAGTCCCCCGATTGAATGAGACAGGGAAGGGCACTTTAGAATGCTAAATGGTGCAATGCCAAGATAGAACGGTCATATCTATGTGCTAAATACTATATCAATATTTACGAAACAGAAACTATAGGAGATAGCAGAAGAGAGAGAAATGTACTGGTAGGTAGGGGAAGATTTGAATTCACTTTTCTCGGTAAATGTCAGATCAAGGGGACAAGACTGTGAGGATACAGAAGACTGGGATAATTGTTAGCCTGATTGAACTACTCCTATGGCACGTTTATAAAAACTGACCATGTAACAGACCATGAAGAAAATTGTAATAAAATTCAAAAAGTGGCAATGCCACTGACAATGTTTTCTGATTATAATGCCATTAATGCCATAAAGTTAAAGTCAATGGCAAGGTCGAAAGACCCAAAAGCTTCTATGTGGAAAACCAAAAAGAAAAAGCAAAAAACTAAAAAACAAAAACGAAAAACAAAACAAACCCCAAAACAACCAACCAAACCTCTTTCTTGACAATTTTTGGTGCAAGAGAAAATATAAAATAAATGACAGACTACCTGGGAAGCAAGGATAAAACACTACATGTTAGAAGTTAACTGCAGTTAAAGCAGTATTACGAGAACGTTTATAGCCTTAAAAACTTACGTTAATTAAAACAAAAGAATGAAAACTACGCATTTAGCTCTTAGATCAAAAAATAAAATAAGAATAAAACTGAATTATGGAACTCCAAGAAGATGAAAATGAAAACATTATACACCCCAAAACAAATGGGGCGACACTCAGGCAGTCGTAAGCAGAGGCAATTTCAGAAGCAATGTATTTTCCTTATCAAGAAAGAGGGAGCAAAGTAAATAAAATTTCAACTGAAGAAGTTAGGAGGGAAAAAAACCCTTAAAATAGTAGGCTGCATCTTCTAGACTTCTGTCTTGATCTTCAAATAAAAAGTCAGTTAACTTTTCATTCATTTGTTTGACTGTGATCTTCTCTTAAAAAAGAAGGCACCATGCATGGATGTGATGACTGTCAGGGATCTAGAATATTGGATTAATCAGAAAACCCTGTTTTCCAATGTTGCTGAGCAAATGTCTTCCCCTCTTATTCCTTTTTCCTGTTTTTTTCTTTCTTTCTTTTTCTCCCTTCATCTTCTTGATTTGCTTCCTTTTAAAAAAAATCTCTGCCTTTGTTCTTTCCTTCTCCATCCCTCTTCCTTCTTGGCCCCCTCTCCTGCCTCCACCTCTCCCACCTGCCCGCCTCTTGGCCTTTGTTCTCTGATTTCCTATGGCCTTTCCCCCTCATTTCCTTCTCTCTCCCTTCCTTCACTTGGACACTGTCATGTATCCTCTTTCTTTGCTGTCCCTCTTCTTTCTCTCTTTTGCTTGTCCCCTTTCTGTCGTCCCCGCATGCGGCAGGTCTATGACACACAACTGGAGAACGTGAAGGCCTTTGAGGGCCTGTCAGACTTTTGTAACACCTTCAAGCTCTACCGGGGCAAGACTCAGGAGGAGATGGAAGACCCTTCCGTCATTGGGGAATTTAAGGTAAGTCCCCGAGGACATGCCTCTAACCCAGCAGGGGCCCAAGACTGTGGAGTGGCAGCGGTGAGTGAAGGGGTGGGCGCGGAGTGCTGTAGCATTATTGACAACAACCCTAGTGCTGGCATGGCAGTGGGCTTCGTGCTCGCCGTGGTGCTGACTCTGGCAGGGGCGAGACATGGTCGCCGTGCTGATCGTGTTGGTGACGATGATGATGAGAATGAAAGTTGAACCCTCCTTCTTTTCAGGGCCTCTTCAAAATTTACCCCCTCCCGGAAGACCCAGCCATCCCCATGCCCCCGAGACAGTTCCACCAGCTGGCCGCCCAGGGGCCCCAGGAGTGCCTGGTCCGCATCTACATCATCAGAGCATTCGGCCTGCAGCCCAAGGACCCCAACGGGAAGGTACCGTTCCTAGAGCTCTTGTCTCCCCCAAAATAAACAGCAGGCTGGGGTTCGAATAGGCTGCAGAATTTGGATACAATCTTTGCCTCAGGGAATTCACAGGAAGTGGGGAAACCAGATAAACATGTATAAAACTGAGATGTGACTGCAGTGGAGTTCCAGGAGGTCAGAAAAGGCCAAAGTCAGTACAATATCTTGGAATAATGGGGAAGACTTCCTGGGAGGAACAGGATTCTTAAAGATCGATGAGTTTTGATGGGCTGGGAGGGAGAAGAACACAGTATTTTAGGAGGGGTCTAAAACCTCAGCAAAGCTTTGGGAGCCGGCTGCTTAGCGTAGGTTTAGCACAAGGTGAAGGCGTAAGGACGAGTGACATTGAGGGTGCAGGTGGGGACTGGACTTTGTGGGGCTCCCAGTGGGGGGGTGGGGAGGGGAGACAGGGTCGGTGACTGGCCGAGCCATGCTGGAGTCTGAGGCGAAAGGAAGCATCAGTAATGCTATCCTGTCTTTATTTAAAATTTTGATATTTTGCTCATTATGGACTATTGGGGTTGATTTTAAGTTTTAAAATATCGCATGCAAATGTTGTTCATCTTGATTACTGAGTTTTTGTGGCCCTCCCTTAAATTTTGTGCCTGCGCAAGTCCCTCACCGGCTTACTCTAGTCCTGCCTCTGAGTGAAGTGGGGAACTCGAGTCTGGAGCTCTGGGGAGCTGGAGGGGAGGGGAAAGGTAACGTTGGGAAGAGAGAGAAAGAGGAAAGAGGCGAGGTGGGGGGGGGCACTTGCGTTCAGAAGCACGAGGTCCTATCTTGTCCCCTTAGACAGGTGCGGGCCTAGCATGTGTCCCAGGTTGTGGGTAGAGGCCTGGTGTCCCACCCCTGGAGCCCTGCTTTTCCAGGTGAGAAATCACGGCTGTCCTTGCCCTGCTGTGCCGTCACAGGGTGGAATGGAGTGGTCCCGGCCGGCACCACCGACGGCCTCTAAGACATGGCTGGGCTGAAAGAGTCTGACCATCTCTCTCCCTTTCCATCTGCTGAAGCAGAGGTCACAGACAGGAGCCCAGCCTGGCCTAGTCACATATGTAATGCAGACTGGCGTGTTTTGGAGGATATGGGCCTGGTGCCCGCCTGCCCTCTCCCAGTGGGGCAGTGGGCAGGGAGTGTGGAGGACTGAGGCACCCCGTTTTCACTGCTGAGTCTGGGGCTAGGAGCCCACACCAGGGCTGGTGTGCACCATGGGGCCGCTGGCCTGGCCGGTGGCAGCTTCCTGATGGTGGCCCACCTTGCCCCTTTGAGAGGCAGAGCAAGGAAGAAGCCTCAGAGACGTGTTGGGAAGGTGGTTTCACTGGAGTGTTTCTCCTCCTCCAGTGTGATCCTTACATCAAGATCTCCATTGGGAAGAAATCGGTGAGTGACCAGGATAACTACATCCCCTGTACGCTGGAGCCTGTGTTTGGAAAGTAAGTTGGGGCAGTTTGGATCTTGGGGTGGAGGTGCCAGTCTGGATAATCCACGGCCCAGTGGGAGGGAGGTGGCTGCCACTGGCAAGTGCCCATCTCCCAGAGCAAAGCTCTGTTCCCTGAATCTTGCACATCTGTGGGGTGTAGCCTCAGCTAGCTCTTCCTCAGGTGCTAAAGACCTGAGTCCTGCCAGAAGCTCCTAGATTAACAACTACCGCGAAGGTCAGAAATCCACATGGAAACTCAGAGCGTGCATTTGCTAATTATGCTCTCTTTTCTTAGATCAACTTTTCGTTTGGAATAGTTTTAGATTCACAGAAAAGTTACAGAGATAGCTTCTCCCACCATCAACATCTTACCTAACCACAGTACATTTATCAAAATTAAGAAATTGATATTGGTACATTACTGTTAACTAAACTCTAGACTGAATTAAGATTTTGCCAATTTTTCCATTAATGTCCTTTTACTGTTTCAGGATGCAATCCAGGATTCCCATTGCATTTAGGAATTATTCTCCTTTACTGTTGCACGTTCATTTGTGGCAGATAAGTCAAGGAGGGATGTGGACTCAAGACAGTAAAATGTGTCCTAAAATCTAAGAACAAGGGAAAGAAGCAGCAGAGACCATTGCATGGGAGTAGCTCCCAGGCATCCTGACTGGCTTGCTGCTTGTACGCGAGCTTATTTTGGGTCAGAGAGAGGAGAATCTTGAGGGAGGTTGGCAGCTATTTCTCCAGCACCTGTAGGAGAAGGCATGTACTGATATTGTCAAGCAGCACATCGGATTCACGAACTGCTGTCAGTTGAGTTAGTTGTGGTCCCTCGGCCTTGCAGTGAAGACCCACTCAGTCTGGGGAAATGCCGTTTTTAAAGGGGAAGAGGTCCTGGCCAACGATGAGCCGCCACCAAGCTGGAAGTGGGAGGGAGGGCTGCAGGGAAGATGGCATGAGGGAGAGCAGAATCCTGTTTGGAGAGCTGCAGTGGTCAGCATGGGTCCACAGGCGGACATGGCCTGGCAGGGCCCAGGGAAAGGTGGGGCAACAAATGGAGAAATGCCCCCCCCACTTCTCCGTTTCACCATCTCCTCCAAATCGTGGCCACCTGGTCTGCCTGGGGTGTCAAGCCTCCCTCAGTCCATAGCAGAAACTCTTTGTTTCTATAACCCATGTGTCGAACAGCACAACGCATGGGGTATAATTAAACCCAGCTTTGTTTTTGTCTGCCGGTGTCCCATAAACATTTATCCTGTGGGGGTTACCTTCCTCACTCCCTGAGTGGAAACTGCGGCAGGCCGGCAGCTTTCCTGCCCATGTTCAGACAGTCTACTCTGCCACAAAGCCACAGTCTCAAGCTGGTAACCAGAATGCGCGTCTGTGTGTCCTCAGGGGCCCGCGGGATGGCTGGGGGTCGGTTCCCTCTTGCAGTTGGGCTCACCTTGGGTACAGCGTGTACAAACTGTGGAGTGTGTGGAGGGGAGGAGAGGCTTTGCCAGTGTCCCCACCTCGGCCCCCCTGGCCACCCCCCTAGCCTGGTCCTGACCCGTGCAGGGCCAGAACTGGGATCCTAGAAGGCCCATCTCAAATGTTGGCTTTGCCCCGTCCGGGCCCCCTCCGTGTGACCCATGTTTGCTTTCTCGGGGGAGGGGGCTTTCCAGGGAGCCCCGGAGCCCTCTTAATGTAGCTCCTGGGAAGTGGCAGGTGTCCCTTCAGCTGGTGCCCCCCACCCCTGCACCAGTTGGACTTCTGGTGGGCAGTGCCCCCTCCTCTGCAGGAAGCAGTGTGATTGGTGTCCCACCAGGATGGGAGCGTAGCTCCTCCCAAACAACCCCCCCCAAATCCCACATTCTGCCACAGGCTGCTCGCACCTCCCCGACTATGAGTCAGGTGCCAGGCTTGTGTCTCCCGCCTGCAGAGAACTCATTACTCATTTCAGGGGAGAAGGGATAACACCTCCACACTTGACCTCCACAGAGGTGGGGGGGGGAGTCTCGGAGCATAGCAGGAACTCTCTCCAAAGAAATCTCACAAATCCTCTTTCCACCCAACTCTGGAAGTTGGGGTGAGGCCCCAAGAGTCCCGAAAGTGGATCCCAGGCCATCCCCTTGGTAAATTCCAGAGCTCTGACACCTGTCTGGAGTTTCACATCTCTTGTCTTCAGGTGTCCTGGTGGAAACCTCACTTTTAACCTTCTGCCCATTCATTGGTTCATTCTGCGGTCCATCAGGCAGGCCCCTGCTCTATGCCCAGCTCAGATTATTTGGCAAAGCCAGACACACACACACACAC